TGAATCCCTTGCTCAATCTGGTGCTGTGCTAAAAGTATGCTTGTGAAATTTTTCTTTTTAATAAATACTTCGTAACTTTTGGTGTTGGTAGTGGTTCTCTGTTCCACACACACCTTCACCGTCTTAGACATGCTATTTTAAAAGGAGTGCTGGGGGAAGGCAGTCAGTTGGTAAGAGGCTATTCCTCCTATTACAAGGCAGTAAAACATCCCTGTGATGACCAGGCACTGGGCAGCGGAAGACACAGAGGCAAGGCCTGAGAACTTGGAAGGGAAGCTGGGAGTCCTGACTCTCCCAGAGGGCAATTCCTACAAAGGTCCGGTGGTGGTGGCAGGTTACGAGAGAGAGAGAGAGAGGTGTTGGGAAAACCTTGGAGAGCAGGGTGAAAATGGGCTTGCAGGCTGAAGCAGGACTGTTCTGCCACAGAGACAACCAAGGAAGCCTCTGCTTTGCACTTTCCTTGAAAGCCCCTTGCTGGGTGTCAGGCCGCCGGTGCCCTCTCCCCTGAAGGAGGGTGCGGAAGCCTCAGAATATGGGAGCTACGAGGTTACTTCACCTCCAGCAGCTTACCCATATGGCAGTTCTGCAGTATACGTCTCTCTCTCTCTCTCTCTCTCTCTCTCTCTCTCTCTCTCTCTCTCTCTCTGTGCTGTCAGTTCTCTGCCCTTCTCTTTCTCCCCGGCTTCCGTGTTCCCTCCTCCTTTTATTGTTGCTTCCCTCATCTCCCTCTCTCCCTTGTGGTCCCACTGTTCCCTCTAAGCTGTGGAGTCTTGTGAGCAAAAATTCTACTTTGTGAGCTACTGGCATTAAAGTTGTGAGCGAGCGATTTGGTTACTGCATAAATTAGTTTGCTCTGGAGCCATCCTCCCTGAGCTGAGATGAAAATGTGTGAACTGGAGGCTAAAAACTTGCAAGTTAGCTCACGCTAACTCAGCTTAGAGGGAACACTGGTCCCCACCCCTGTCCATCTTCCCCCTCGCTCCATCTATTGGTGACTCCTCTCCCCCTTTATCTGCCAGTTCCTGCCCTCCTCCCTCATTCGTGTCTCGCCCCCTCCCCATCGGTCAGTGCTCCCTTGGCTTGCCCGGCATCATTCTCTCCTCCTGGAACCTCTCCTCGCCGGGTCTTCCTGCAGGGCCTTCAGGTAAGTTTCTGAACTGGCTCTGCCCTGGGTCCATTCTTGCCTAGGCAGCCCGGTCTTGCAGCCTCACTCTCCCCACCATTCCCAGCCCACCCCCCTGGCTAGGCCCTTGCCTCGGGGCTCCCTGTCACTCTGCCCGATTCCACTCCTGGGCTGGTGATTCGGGGGGCCCTGCGAGGCAAGGTGCCACTCGCTAGGGTGTGGCGCAGCAGGGTGCTGCTGGACTGGCTGAAGAGGGCCTCAGGCCACAGCCAGCTGGCTCTTGCCGTGGCGGGGATGTGGCTGAGCTGGCTGGGGAGGGCCCTGGGCTGCAGCCACCCAGCGGCACAGGCCTTGGGGCCAGCGTGGCGTCCCGGCTTCAAGTCAGGACACTGGGGCTGCCAAAAGTTGGTTGCGATCTGATTGCACTCATGTACGTAAATGTTCCAGTCTATATCTCTAGCACAAGTTTGCCCAACCAGTAATCTCCAGACTATATCCACCCACCCCCTACCTTGCACCTGCTGCATCAGAAGTGGTACCTTGCATACACTCATACCTGTATACAAGGCATTACTTGTAAGACAACAAACCATCTCACACCTTTTTCATACTGAGAGATGTGGCATAGCCTCTACATTCTTGTTCCACCAGGCAAACCTCCATTCAGCATGGGAAGACTTGGGACCGGCCATCTCAGAAACAGCACACAACTCTCAAGAGCTGTGCTGAGTTCGTAGAAGTTGCTGGGAAGTGGCACCACCAAACTGATTGCATTGCAACTGGGAAATGAGTTTAACTTGGCCCATGCTGCTTCCTGAAAACTTGCTTAGGAAGCAGCATAGCCCAAACTCAAAGTAACAACTAAGAATCACGTGTTGCTTCCAAGCTAAGCCAGCTCTCAACCTTCCCATACAAAAGGCAGGGACACCCCAGAGCCTCTGGAAAGGCCTCCACTCTGGAACCCTTTCCCTTCCTCATTAGGAAGCTGGCAAGGCCATGTGTGATAATGTCATGGATGTAACTGTCCAGCTCCTAAGTAGGTTGGCTGGGGAAGATTAGGCCACCAGGCTAAAGACGTTGGCTCAAAAAACCTAGGTACTTTAGGATGGCAGAATGGAAGCTGTGCATCAAGCATTCCCTAAAACAAAGGTCCCTCTGAATTTCTCAGGAATCAATGGCAGGCCCGGCAACCTGAGAACCTTCAAAAAATTACCTACAGCTTAGCTACCTGGTGAGCAACCAGCGGTATGTTGTGATTTGGAGAGAACTGAAGCAGTTATAGCAGTGGCAGTGCAGAGACAGAGACAGCTGCGTCAATCTCTACCTCCTATCACCTCCTTGAGAGAAAGATGAGCACGTGATCCTTGTACGTCTCTCCCAAGAGCTAGCATGGTCTAGGGTTAGAGGTTAGACTTGGGAGATCTGGGGTTAAACACCCACTTGACCATAAAGCGTCCTGGGTGCCCCTGGGTCAGCCAATCTCTCTCAGCCAAACCTACTTCATTAGAGTTGTCATGAAGGATACGGTTAAGAAGAGGAGAACTATGTATGCCATCCCAAGCGCTTTAGAGCAAGGACAGGACAAAACTGTGACCGATTGCAGTCCTCCAGGTCCTGCTGCTGCAAAGGCAATAGGAACAAAGGCATGAGGAGGGCCTGGGTGATTGTGCGGAAACATCCAGGGTACATTTATCATGTTGCTGAGTATCAGGACAACTAAAAGGGGGCATGGCTTTCCACAGCTCATATTTTAGGGGTGCTATCATATTACATAGTATGCTTCCTAAGGGTCTGGACCGGGAGCCTCTGAGCACTGCCCAACACATAACTTCTTTCTCAGTGCTTTCATACCAAACTGGAAGCCGGGGAAAGAAACCTGCACCTACATGACACGTCGAGCTGTCTCTCTTGTGTTGCTGTTGTCTGTACTGGGATCAGCATAAGTTCAGGTCAAGATTAACATGGTCTATGGGAACAAAAACACTGAAGGACTGCATCCAATCCCTGGAAAAGATCCCATGCAGGTGGTGACCTGAGCTCACAGTAAATCTCTTTTTCTGCTCCACGGGGATACCACAGGTTATGACTAGCACTCTTCATAAATCTGGAGTAAGGAAGGGGCTCAAAGGTGAATCCCTGATTAAACTCACACTGGCTGAGTTCAGACTGGCAGTTTGCCCCGAGATGGGCACGTGCCATAAACGTTTCACAAACAGATTAAAGGGGGCCGTTCACACAGGCACATCTGTCAGGCGTTCCCCAGCCGTACTCAGCCCGTCTTGTAGCGCTTGCCTCCCGAGTTTAAAAAGTACCTGTTGAAAGTGGTAGCAAACCCTGGAGAGCGCAGTCATCCTGCGTTCATCCTGCACCAACAAAGTGTGAACGCCGAAAGCCACAATTTGTTTGTGCGCTTATGCCATGGCGGGGATGTGGCGCATATCTCTGGATTACCAAAAAGAAAGCTGCGCCTTATAGTCACGCCTCTGCCAGGGGTGGGCCAACAGTGCAAACGCTCCCTTGCGCCTCCTCCCCGGTATGCTCCCGCATTAGTCGGTGCAGTGTGACCAGGAAAACCCGGAACAGTTTGTGCTGGATCTTTTTGCCACGACTCCTTTGTGCTTCAAACTGCCAGTCTGACCTCAGCCACTGACTTGTTTTTTATCCAGTCAGGGGCTACACTTGCTGTTCACTAGAGAGCATCACTTCAGAACTGGTTTTCAAAAACCCAACAATAGTCCTGAAATGCATTTGTTCATTTTCCACTTAAACTGTTAGTTTTCCAGTAAATTTTGCTTTAAAGAAGTATCCTGGGCATATAGATAAAAGTAGATTTTCCACCAGCTCAAGCTGACTGAACTTCAGCTCCGAGAATTGATACCGTTTGCACTATACCTGTGTGGACAGGACAATGGAGATGCAAATATTTGAAACGACAGCATAATGACTCAAAGACGTGTGGCTGCAGCTGAAGTCTCTCCCCACCCCCCAACACACACACACAACTTGAAACCAAACTAAATGGAGCTTCACAGCTGCTATTCCTACATACTTGGGGCTGTTCTGCCCCTTCTGTGGAGGGTTCTTGGGCAACTAACATATTAGAAAAGGAACAAAACAGAAACAGCTGGAATGAAGTCACTACCAAAGCTGGTGTTTCATCCAACATATTTATTGTTCATATCTTGTGCTGCCTTATTGAATGGCCTCAGCCAATTACCAGACAGTAGTAAGCTCGGTCCCTGTAGATGTATAAAAGAAATGGCTATTCCTTTCTTTTGCACCCTGATTTTCTCATTCTAGCTCTGCTCTTGCCTATCGGTTGGCTTTAAAAAAAAATAATAATCATTGTCCAGAGAGTACTGTCAGCAGAACCTGAGCATGAATTCTGCTTACAGTAGGACCAATCAGCATTCCCAGCTGAAGCCTTTTATGGCTATAGTTCAACTGTAAGGCAACGCTGATACATCATATCAGACAACAGTGAAATAACATGGCACAATCTCATTACAGCAAAATCTACTGAGTTTCACTTCCAAAACAAAACATTAGTCTTACTCGTGGCTCCCATTACTGAAGGAGGCCTTCTAAAAATACAGTTCCAAAATGTCTTTCATTACCCTGTCCTTCATAGTGCAGTGTCCCAGGTTGCAGCTTTGGGTCATTTCCAAAGTATGAAGGCTTCCTTTTTTGCAATTTCTCTTGAAAATACCACTTTCATGATTGGAGCCATCTCCAAATGTTACATGAATTCCTTCTTGCTCTCAAAATAGGAGTGAAAGGGCAAGTGATGAAAGGCCCTGAAACCTGCAGCAACCTTTGCTGCCAACTGTACAATGCAAAGCCACACAGGTAAGAAGCATGTAATAATGGAGGGGGAATATATACTGTACAAGATGGCAGCTCCTTCAGTATTGCAGGCATTTTGGAGAATCAAAGTACAGAGATAATCACCTTTGTGTAGTGAAGTCCAAGGATAAGTACAGTAAAAACAAAACACCCTACTTTACTTCCTGGTGAAGTGAGCTATCTTTTCCAAGAGGCTCGCTGGGTAAGGGCAATTGGCTGGAAATGGCTTTCACATTAGTCCTCCAGGTCCATGACTGAAACTGACAAGAGCCTTCAACATCCTTGAAGTCCAAGTAGTTCTGAGAGCTTCTGGTTTCTCAGTCTATTAACACAGGCCTTCTAAGACAGCATCACACCACAAGAGACATCCTTGTTGGAAATTCATTCTGTAGTAAACAAGAGAGAAGCAAAAAAAAAAGATCAATCTTAACACAAAGTATCAAATTTATTTATTTATTTATCAATCCTAACAAAAAGAGAATATGTAGCCTTGGCAGGAAACAGAACAAAGATGGACATTTGACATCTGCTTTCATGTTATGAGGGCATTAACTAACTTTCCATAACTAGTCAGCCAGAAGTCTTCCCCATATGCTAACTAGATTGGTGGTAGCATGTATTAAGCTACTTCTCATGACCCTTCTGAAAACCTGCTCAAAGAATACTTGTTTGCATTCAAGATTCAGGCCCAGTAAACTGACCTGCAGAAGAATTCACCCCTCTCTTGAGTTACTCTTACAACAACTGTTCAACATCTAGCTTTCCAAAACAGATACTCCTTTAAAGTGTTGTCTAGCATGAACACTGTGAGTTACGAGAACATTCTAAAACCTTAGAAACTTCATATGTTGAATAATAATTGCTCTCTACTCATCCTCCTTGGATTGCATACAAGCACCTCCTCTTTGTGAGTTAACTAAAATTCATGCATGATTTACTAAGTTCAAATATTTTCCTACTTTCCTGAAGAACTGCCCCTAGCCCAAGAAACATTCTGTTGAAGATGTTCTCCTTTGCACTCTTCTGGTCTGAAGTCCATATACAGGATACATTTTTACTCAAAATCCAAAAACCTAAGAATACACTACAAGTACTTCACATCACTAGGAAGGATGTAGGTTGTATAATTTTCAGCTTTTGTCTGCAAAACTCTTGCAAACAATAGTGAAATCTTTTCCCCCCTCCAGATGCAACTTAGATATTGGAACCTGAGTATAAAATGATTCCTTAGAAGCGGCCCCAAGTAGCCCTGTAACCCCAGGCCCTGAAAACCGCCAATGCCAGATGACCCCTGTTCAACCCATTTGGAACAGAAGTGCCAGATGTGGCCTTACTGTTTTCTTTGGCTCTTTTTTCCTTTTCTTCTCTGAGGAGTTGAGATTAGATTGTTCTCTGCTTCTGTATGAAGAACCCCGGCTCAACTCCCTCTCGCTGTAAGGCGGTAGAGGGTCTTCTCCTTCCTCCTGCTGTGGAGGTTGTTGTTGCTGCTGCTGCTGTCCTGACTTGTAAGTTGATTGTGGTGACCAGGCATAGTACGACCCACCTCTCTGGCTGGAATGGGAGCTAAGCTTTGAAGGGGTCTCGCTGTGCTCACCACTCTCATCGTAGCTTCGTGATTTCCTTTCAAGGGCACTGGTTAGGTAAGAGTGGTCATACTTCTGACTCCCTCCAGGTGTCCGACACATTAGCCTAGGCACCTGTTTCTCATCATGGGTATGTCTCCGGGGGTGACTGTATGACCAGCCCCGATCTGAATCTGTCTGTGGCTCATGGTTTCCCCTTCGTGCGCCGTAATATTCGTCCAAGGAGTTGTCCTGGTGCTGCGCCGCCCCTCCACGTACTACTTGTGACCCTGATCTCTCAAAGCGCCTGGGTTCCTGACTGCCTTCTGTTCGACGGGCACGCCGGCTGTAAGACTCAGCAAAAGCTGCAAGTTCATCCATGGAGACGGCTGGCACTCCCATGGAGAAACTCTTCCGAGAGAGCTTCTCTGACTTTGATCTCTGCTGACTGTTGGAAACAAGAAATAAATGCTTTCGGGTCGCGTTCACAGTAACTAGACAATGGTAAGCAATTATCAACCCAAATATATACTGGCATATATCATGAGCAGCATAGGCCAATAGTTCCACATGCCCCCTCCCTGAGCCAAGGACGAAGACCCTAAGTGAATGAGGGCGGGAAAAGGATTCTTAGCACTAAGAAGCCCAGATATGGAACAGCCAGGGTACTTCACAGGTGAAAGTATTTTGCAGTCCAGACTGTGAAGTGATGCACTGTGACCCAGACTCAAATCCTGACTCATCCAATTGTCTGACTGGCCAGACTGGTGATAGCCTTCTGAGAGAACGTATATAGTAAGTATATAGTCGCATCAGTGCTAATCGGGTGAAGAAAAGCACAGCGCAACCAACACTGTTCAGAGGGCTTGTAGCTAGAATGTCAGCATGATGCAATGGGTAAGAGTTTGGGGCTTACATATTAGAGGGTCACAGTCATCCATAGCTGGCAGAAAGGTCAAACACTCAATACTTGGCATCTCCAGTAAAAGGATCTCAGGTATCAAGTACTGGGGAAGACCATGGGTGGCTGACACAGGGAGCTTTGACTCTCAAAAGCTTTATGCCATTAAAATCTTGTTGGTCTCAAGGGTGCTACTGGACTCAAATCTAGCATGTCTCACCCAGGGACTCTGCAGAGCTGCTGCCAGAGCAAATGATGCTGAGCCAGATGGACAAATGGCGTGACTCAGTATAAAGCAGTTTCATTGTTCATATACAGATGCATCTCTTTTCTTCCTGTCATGCAGCTTGTGTTACTATTCCATTTTTGGTTTTTTTGGCCTATGTGTATCTCACAGCTGAATATGCTAGGAAGTCAAGACAGAGTTCTCTGCTGGATATGGATGCCATGGAAAACACTCACTGATGCACAATGTATACAAGGGCCCCAATGTGATGCACCTACAGCATACCCTAGAAGTCTGCCCCTCCAATACCGACACTGACATTCAACTTAAATTCCTTGGTTGTACAATAACAGCAATTTAAATTACTTTAAATGTTGGCCTATATCATAAGACTAAATTGATACATTTGTTCCTATGCCACTGATCCAAGGAATCGATTCAGTCGCCCTACTCAATGGAATTTTGCAGTCCAAAAGAATTAGTCAATTAGAATTACAGTCCAAAAGAGCTAGTCAATTGCTGTGAATATCTCCACATCCTATTAGCACCTTCCTTGCCATTAAGGCACAGAAAACCGGGAAATGAAAAGACCCTTCTCTCCTTCCTGTTCTCCCTCTCCCAGGCATTACACTCACCTCAGCCTGAAGCTGCCCCTCTCATCCCTGTAATCAGAGCATGTTTGGGGTCTGGACATGCCACTGCCACTGCCAGCCCCTGCCCAGTACTCTGCATCACCCTCCAGGAGATCTCCTGGAGGAGGGAGTGGCTTTCTGCGCACCTGGCGAAAAGACTGGCGGAAGTTGGCATCTTGCTCATGCAAGGAGCTGAGCTCTGAGATGGTATTATTGTCTGAAACAGATGACAGAGAAATGACAGAAACAATAAACATCATGGTGGGACAGGCTCCCATCAATTCAAATAGTGGCTTGCTCCTTCTGAGTGGAGCTTTGATTCGTTCTTAGCAGTGGAGTCTATCAGAAACATGAGATCGTTCATCAAAAGCCATGTTGTCATGATTTTTATCCTGACCTCCCTCTCGCACACTAACTAACTCACACACCAACAAGATTGAAACCTGTCTGGAGGATTAACTTTGATGTAACATAAAAACATGTAAAAAAAAATTGTAGAGGCGATTGAGCCTTGCATTGCCCCATGAATCCAGGTCCAACTCAAACAGACCATGTTCCAAGTAATCCCAAAACAAACATGAGCTGTATTCACAAATAACTTGGGAAGGGCACTGATTCTCTATATATTTTCTGTTAACCTGCTGATTTTGTTTCCCTTTCAATCTCACGGGGCAATGAGTGGGAGGGGGAAACTGACTCAGCAGACGTGTCCCTGGTAGGGATGTCATCCAAGCAGAAGACTCTGCTAATGTTTCTACGGAATAGGATTGTATTGACTGGCATTTTTTGCACAGTGCTTCCACTTTACACCAATCACTGCACTGTCTCAGGCTTTGAGAAGGCTTCCCCATTCCATATGAGGCATTAGGCCTTTTGTACAAGCTGTTTTATTATCTGCTTCACTCCTCCTCCACCAATTGTACCAAACACACATCTCAAATCAGACAAAAAAGGGAAAAGTTATGTGCTGAGGAAAAATTAGATGAGCTTCTACCTCACATAGATATATGAGGCAGAACTACTGATCCAGGATCTGAGATCTTTCAGTGCCTTTAATATCATGTAAAAGCACTAAGGAACTACATCTTTTCTCTGAAACAAATCTCTTCCTCCTAGTTACTATTAATAAAACATCTGTCTTTGTCTCTAATTTTCATATACATCCCTCTGTGGAGGAATTATGGAAGATGAAGCCTTCAGTGTGTTAACTTTGTACTCTCACTCTCTTCCTACAGAGGGAGACAGGCTGGTTCGGTATGATCAACCAAGGGAGGAACTTTTTAAATGACTGGATGTTTCCCTCCCATCACCCCCACTGCCTACCCTACCACATGCAATGACATCTGGGTCCCAGGCATTCCAATCTGGAGAAATACTTTTTATAGTATTTCTTGTGGGTGGCAAATGGCAGCATGTTCAGTGATGACTGTTTTAGAACACCATGTAATTTGTTAGTTTCTGTAAAAGCTGTGATTAAAGTCATTCCTTGAATCTGTCTGTCAGTTGATTGGGGCAGCTTGCGTGTCTGTGACTGCCAGGACCTTCTAGCACTTATGGGCTGGATCTACTGAATGTGTAAAACTAAAAATAGAGGCAGCAATTTATTTATTTATTTTAAATCAGTCCACCATATCTGAATGGACTGGATGAGTCAGCAACTTGCACAACATCAGTCTGCAGAGCTATTTTTCTTGTCTTCATATTCCTGACAGAATGTCTGAGAACATCTCTGTGTGCAGAAGCTCTGCATGCCCTGTAAAGGCTTCTGTCCTCTCATATCCTCAGAACAACACAGTGTGACTCTTATCAACTACACTTTAGGGAAATGTTTGTACAAGGCCAGACCTGGGAGGGTTGCTGATTTTACAGAGCCACAACTCAAAAGGCCCTGACTCTAGTTCTAATCAATCTCACCGCTTGACGGAACAGGAATTTGCATCAGAAAGAGCAAGAGATATCCTTGATGGTTAATAAATTCTAGATAATGGCTAACTGGATAGGGGTGGGAAGGGGCCTAGAAAAACTTCCAGAGCTGTTCATAGAAACAGAAAAAAGACCGTCATCACATAAAACCTGAGCTAACAGTATCCAGTTGAAAATTATCATTGGCTATTATTGTCTATGCAGAGTGGCACCTCTCTCTGGCTGTGGCCACACTGGAGGCTTGGCACGATCTGGTGGCGCCTCTATTTACGATGGTTTAAATCATAGCGGGAAGGGGTGACCAGATAGCATGCCCTGAAGCAGCCTCACTGCACGCTCGCCCATGGTCGACCATTCAGATTACTGCTGAGGGGCCACCATGGAATAGGTGGTTGGTTGGCTTCTTTCCTTTAATTTGTCTTTTGCATATGCGCATAACCAGTTATTCGAAGCACCGCTCCATTTTGACAGCTGGAGGAGGCTGCCTCCCCCTCTGAAAAAAACTCATCTTTTCAATTAACCCTTTTTTCCCTACCCTGTGTGCTGCAAAGCTGTAGGCAGAGGAACTGGTATGACAAAAGACAAAGGAGGCTGTCCTTTCCTCCCCATTTGTTGCCTCAGAGGACAGCTGAAAGCTTGCTGGTGTACACAAAGATGTGATTATGTGCACATCGCAAACTGATTTTAAAAAAACCAAGGAGTGAAAATAGAACTGAGCGATCAAACTTCCCAACTGGGTTGAGCTTACATCAGGGGTGTTCAGACATCTGGAAATGCAGGGTGAAAGCACTGATATCCATAAAGACTGGATTTTCCCCAGTGCCTGATTACTCCGCTTCCAAAGGGGGGCAGAATGGGGTGGCAACGACTGGGCCCTGTAAGGCAGATGTTGCTGTCTGATTGTGCTTTTTAAATCTGCAAAGGTACCACAATGATATCAGCACAAACTGCTTATGTGACCATAGCCTCTCTCTCTCAGCAATAAATTGTGTTTCCTGGTTTCTGAGGAGATCTGAAGGCTAGCTGACTGTGGATGGCAGCTAATATAAGAAAGAAGGGGAAGCTGATTCTGTCCCCTTCCCTAAAGCCATAGAGACCCTCCCTCCAGTTCTAAAAAAAAAATGAGAGGCCTTTGTCTTCACATTAGCTGAATAGCAAAGGAAGGCTCAATCTATGCCTTATGGAGGACATGGGGACTTCCTCAACTACCTTCATGGACCCCCAGGGGCCACTGGACCTTTCTATTAAAAACAATAATTTATAAAAAGTAAGGTCAGAAACATGGTGTGGAGTCTACATTAACATTCCATTCTGTTTCAAAGGATTCAGTGTTGGGCTCTGCTGAAAATAGTTGGACAAGGTCTGCTTCTCACATCTTTCTCGCATCCTCCTCGTTGGGTCAAACTGAGCCAGTTCCTTCTCAACATAGTACAACACCTTCATTGAATCTCTGTCTTTGTCAGTCTGGATTCGGTAGCCTTTGCGTACTGTTGGGAAAAGTAAATGAATGGTCAATATGTTCATTCCAAGACATAAGCATTGTGTTAAGTTCTCCTTGCCTACTGTTTTATTACTTGTCTCACAGTCCTTGACATATTTATGCTTCCAAGAACCAGCCTAGACCAACCATGGGCATATTTGAAGACACCTCAGACACCACAAACTTTTATCAGCCTGAAATAAAAGAATTCAAACAGTTCCAATTATTTAAAAGATTTATTCTTTATAACACATTTTTGCTTTGGGAAGCTATTTCTAGGCTGCGGTCACACGGGCAGGAAAATGTGGGGGGGGGAGCGTGGCTGTTTGCCCCGGGGCAAAATAACGTGCACAAGCAGACATCCCGTGGAGGTCCCGTGGTGGTCCCGTGGTAGGGGGGAGGTGCCAATCACACCACAATCCTGCGGCGTGGCAAAAGAAGCTGCGTGCCACGGCAAACGGGTGGTTTATTTGTCTGTACACCGACGTGTGCGCATGCCTCGTTGGGTGCTTGTGCGCATCTCGAGGACACTTTGGGAAAAAAACCTTTCTGCGAGGGGACATGGGCGGGCGCTGGATGCCATGGGATTCCACCGGAAACGCGATCACGCGCCTGCCCTTGCCCCGTGGTTTCTGGAAACTAGTACCTCCGAGGTACTAGTTTTTTACCGTGCATCTTCGGAGTGAAGCCTCGGGTGAGCCACGGGAGCTCTATGCTTCCCAGATGTGGCGGTGAGATCGCGCCCGGGAACTCCGCCTATCTTCCGTCTCTCTAGCGTGCCTAATGCTCCGTGTGACCGCAGCCCTAGTTAACTAAAAAGCAGAGTAACAAAATTTTAGTCCAGAGGCACCTTTAAGACCAACAATGTTTTATTCAAGGTATAAGCTTTCATGTGCAAGCACACTTCTTCAAATTTTGTTCTACTGCTTCAGACCAACATGGCTACCCACCTGAATCTAAAAAGCAGAGTGTAACATGGCTGTGGTTGAAAACTCTCAGCAATACAACTTTAATCAATAAGGCTAGTATCAGACTCCCCTCCCTCCAGTAGACCCCTCTGTTGCCATGGTAGTTCCTTGCTATCATCACCCATTTGCTCAGACAATTAATGTGTAAGGAAAAGAGCTGCAGCTTGCTCCTCATCACTGTTATCATTTATTCATCTGCCCAAGTTTATTTATTTATTTATATTTATACTTTAGACTTACTATACTGCCCTAACCCCGAAGGGTCTCTGGGCAGTTTACATGTTGCATTCTAAGAACTTTGAAACCTAACTTGGGCCACATATTTTTCTGGGGATGGGGCAGCCTACCGGCACCCAGGTGGTGGATCCTTGTTGTTGTTGTTCTGGCTCGTCGTCTTCTTCGGCAGTCTCTGATGGGTTTTTTGGGGGGGACGGCAGTCTCAGGAGTCTCCCTTGGATGGCTATCAGCAGGACCGTGTAGGCGCACGTTCCGTGCTCGCTTCCGGCTTCGGCTCCATCCAGCAAGGCTCCGTCACGCCCGCGTACACGCCATTGCTCACCTCCCGGTCTCTGCCTTTAGATGTTCTTACTGGCCACCAGGGGTTGCTCTACCGAGTATCGCCGTCCGCCTCCACCATCACTGCTCTGCCGCCACCGATGTTCTCCTGCTACCGTTTTTCGCCATCTCCATGCCGCCGCCACACACCTTATTGAAGGAGGGTGCCCCCTACCCATCTAAGGGTAGGTACCCATTCTACTTGCTTTTAGGTGTTACTTGCTTTCGAGCCACTGGGTGGGCGGGAGCTGGGATTAGGGTCGGGGGCTCACTCCGACCGCGGTGATTCTCGAACAGCCACAGTGCTGTTCATAGTTGTTAAAGCAGGCGTTCTATCGTCTGCGCCACCGCAGTTGGTGGGCAAGTGGGAATGTAGCAAGGAGCAATAGGAGAGGGCTCTGGCCAGTGGTGGACAATGCTCCCTCTAAGCTGTGGAGTCTTGGGAGCAAAAATTCTACTTTGTGAGCTACTGGCATTAAAGTTGTAAGTGAGCAATATGGCTACTGCATACATTAGCTTGCTCTGGAGCCATCCTTCCTGCGCTAAGACAAAAAATGTGTGAGCCGGAGGATAAAAAACTGTGAGCTAGCTCACACTAACTCAGCTTAGAGGGAACACTGGTGGTAGACACTTCTGGGGTGCTATAGCCATGGATTCTTCCAAGGATCTCAGCCCCTGATACCAGCCCTAATTATTAAACCAACTTAAGTAAAGATATAGAGTTGGGTCTAGGCCTGGCATCCAATGGGTTGTAGGGAGGCAGAGCATTGTAGGAGGGGAAAAAGCAGCCTGTTGTACTTACTGGAAATTGATACCGGAAGTGACAAGAGTAGCTGTAGGAATCACTGAAAACTCTATGGTAAAACCACAGAGGTCCCAGCAATTCCTAGAGTTACCTTTGTCACTTCCTGTATAGCGTTCTAGTGAATACACAAAGCTTTTTTCCCCTTTATTGTTTCCCTGCCACCACTTAGAGCGGCAGTGGGCAATGGGACCTGGGGGCAGGGATTGCTCAAACCCCACTGGAGCCTTGTCAGCCTTAGTTGGATCCCCCATATCTGTTCCGCTAAAGGTGCCTTCCCCTGGAAGAAGATTCCATCTACTGGAGGAAAGTGTCTCTGCTAATGGAACCGATCTGTGTGATCCAACCCATTACCTAACTTTCACACACAAAAAACCAGGAAGTCCAATGGACAGGATAGAACACAAACCAAACTTCAAATATCCTAACTGGTTTGATCATAAGGAGAGCTCCTCTGGGAGCAACCTTACTAGGTCTGCTCGGAATGGGATTGAAGCCTATATTTTCTATACTAATTTTAAACCCCTGATCTAGGAGTGTGCAAAAAAAAAATTGGGTTTTTCCCCCAATTCAGGTCTATTGGACCCGAAAAATATCAGTATTCTTGAATTTTCCTGAATACCAGTATTGGTATTTTACTGGTATTCGGGTAAATATTCTGGAAACTTGAATTTATTTGGCTCCATTATACTCTATGGGGACTGATTTAAAGTTTAAATGCATTCCCTTCACTCACACACAACTCCGGGAGGAAAGGGAAGGCAGTTAGAGTTTAAATGCCTTCTGAACTTGCCAAGTTGTGCCACAGGGGCATCATGACTCGATGAGTAGCCGCACCCAAATAAAAGCCAAATAATACTGGCTTTTATTCAGGTGCAGCTCCTTCAGCTGAATAAATACCCGAAAAATAACTGTTAGGTGGGGGGTTTTGTATTTACTCAGCTAGGTATATACCAAGTGCACACCCTTACCCATGATCAACATGTATTGTTTTTGTTCTCAATGATAAGAGCATACACCCTTCATTACAGCTCCAAAGTCACAATCCTAAGTGTAATTACCTGGGAATAAGTCCAATGGAAATCAGTGTGATATACTTCTGAGTAACCATGCAAAGACTGAGCTGCAGGTGGTAAAACTACATGAAGTGATATCCTTTACTGAATTACTACTGATGTACAAAAAAAAATATCTTAATGTATACAGAAACATTCACAGTTTCTTCCTGGTACCTCACCTTTTCCCCTGCTTCTATTACAATTAGGTGTGCTGAAACATCTCTTTAAAAAGGCTCACCAGTCTATAACCACCAGTAAAATTCCTGTAAATCAATCATTCCATGGGCTCCTCCATATAAAATCAGAATCATTATACCCCACAGAACAGTGCAATCCTTGAATTTGTTGGCTCCTGAGGTGAAAGCAGCTGGGGGTGAGGAGGAAGGTTCATTGGTCTTTTACAAAGTATGCAGTCAGTGTATAATTCTATGCAGAAAATCAGGCCTGTACCAGATCTAAATACACTGAAATATGCAACTTTATTTTATCATATATCTTAGTGCTAGGCAAGCCCTGAGTTTCCCAGGATTACTGTACTTGTAGGGCAGCAAATTCTGTGCAGTGATATTTGCTTTTTTTTAAAAAAAGAGCATATAGATGAAGCATTGATCTGTTGTTCAAAATACTCTGTTGAGGAAGATGATTTCTTCATTGGATATTATTTCTGCTCTGGGCCAACTGCTGGTTTATTTCTCGCTCCCAAATGCTCTACTCTCATTAGTTCATCTGTTCTTATGTTGGGTTCAGGAGAGCACAAATGCACAGATTATTAGAAGCCTGACTTTTCTGACAATCCCTCAAAAGGTCAGGACACTAGCACAAGGGTACAGAAGCTTTATTGCTGGCATATGATCACTAATTGCTTTTTCAGTAACGTCATCTCAATGTGGTGCTGTGGTAAAAGTCAAGTTTTTGACTATTACAATTAGATTTTTTCCTTCCTAAAATGCCACTTGCTGTTTCAAAAGATTGTAGGGTAAACTTTTGATCCACAAGCAATGTGTGGTGCTGCTGATAAGCGGCTTCTGTGGCTTTCTGTCAGTGATGGGAAAATGATGTATGGTCCCATCCTAACCATGCTTACTTGGCAGCAACTCTCCCTGGGTTCAATGGGACTGTACTTCCAAAGAGGTGGAACATACTATGCCTGGTCACCACAAAGTATGTATGTGACTGGAGCCTTATATGCACAAAACGTTATTAAAAAAAAAAACCCCACAGATCAGTGTTTCTTCAAGGCATGTAGGACATAATCTAGCCTACACAGAAACCAGTGTGTGTGCTGCTACTACTATGCTAATACAGAAAAGATTTTTTTTTCTCTGTTCTGAACAATGCACAGGCAGATGGTCTCTGTGTCAAACACCACAAATGTTGCCTGTGGATGGCAGACTTGACACAGACTAAGAGAGCAGGTGTCTTGTTTTTTACTTTGGAATAGGGATGGGCACAAACCGAAAAAATGCACTTCATGCGGGTTCATGGTTTGTGGCTGAAGCACAGACCAAACTGGGAGGTTTGTTCATGAACCAGTTCATGGCCTCACTAACCCCACTGAAATGGACTGCAGTTCCTTTCAACTGGGTTTGCGAAAAGCCTGAAAAACAGCTGAGCGACAGGGAGCAGCTTTTTTAAAAAAAGAGCATATAGATGAAGCATTGATCTGTTGTTCAAAATACTCTGTTGAGGAAGATGATTTCTTCATTGGATATTATTTCTGCTCTGGGCCAACTGCTGGTTTATTTCTCGCTCCCAAATGCTCTACTCTCATTAGTTCATCTGTTCTTATGTTGGGTTCAGGAGAGCACAAATGCACAGATTATTAGAAGCCTGACTTTTCTGACAATCCCTCAAAAGGTCAGGACACTAGCACAAGGGTACAGAAGCTTTATTGCTGGCATATGATCACTAATTGCTTTTTCAGTAACGTCATCTCAATGTGGTGCTGTGGTAAAAGTCAAGTTTTTGACTATTACAATTAGATTTTTTCCTTCCTAAAATGCCACTTGCTGTTTCAAAAGATTGTAGGGTAAACTTTTGATCCACAAGCAATGTGTGGTGCTGCTGATAAGCGGCTTCTGTGGCTTTCTGTCAGTGATGAGAAAATGATGTATGGTCCCATCCTAACCATGCTTACTTGGCAGCAACTCTCCCTGGGTTCAATGGGACTGTACTTCCAAAGAGGTGGAACATATATGCCTGGTCACCACAAAGTATGTATGTGACTGGAGCCTTATATGCACAAAACGTTATTAAAAAAAAAAACCCCACAGATCAGTGTTTCTTCAAGGCATGTAGGACATAATCTAGCCTACACAGAAACCAGTGTGTGTGCTGCTACTACTATGCTAATACAGAAAAGATTTTTTTTTTCTCTGTTCTGAACAATGCACAGGCAGATGGTCTCTGTGTCAAACACCACAAATGTTGCCTGTGGATGGCAGACTTGACACAGACTAAGAGAGCAGGTGTCTTGTTTTTTACTTTGGAATAGGGATGGGCACAAACCGAAAAAATGCACTTCATGCGGGTTCATGGTTTGTGGCTGAAGCACAGACCAAACTGGGAGGTTTGTTCATGAACCAGTTCATGGCCTCACTAACCCCACTGAAATGGACTGCAGTTCCTTTCAACTGGGTTTGCGAAAAGCCTGAAAAACAGCTGAGCGACAGGGAGCAGCTTTTTAAACTTTAAAGGGACTGCACAAGATAGCCTGAAACAGCTGAGCGGTGGGGAGCAGGCTGCTCCCTGCCATTCAGTTGTTTTTGCAGCTTTTGCAAGGAACAGAACACGTGTTTAAAGGGACTCAGAGTCCCTTGAACACCCTGCTTTTGGCTCTATCCACAGACCACCAGGATCTGCTTCAAAAGTTTATGGAAGTTTGTGAGGACAGACCTACCACAAATTTCCATTTGTTAACCATGAACAGGGCAAAATTCATCATGAATTTTGCTTCATGGTTCAGTTCATGCCCATCCCTACTTTGGATAGCTGTACAAACTCAAGTTTGTTAGATGAGCCTAGCTGGACCCATGTCAGAAAATGCAAAAGATGCAGAGTAAGAAAAATTAAAGTGCAACCCCCATCAATCCTTCAGGGCTGTTAAAATACTGAGGCAACAGCCTATTCATAAAGAACAATAGGGAGAGTCAGCCACAAAAACTCAGAATACTGCAGTGGCTATTTCATTGCACAATGTACTTTTCCATCACAGAAGTGGCTGCAACAGTTTTTGTATATTTATTGTTTATTTACTTCTTTTATACCCTGCCTTTCTCCCCCCATGGGGATCCAAAGCATCTTGTTTAATGCACTCCATCACTCATGTGAACTGAAAGAAAACAAAAAGAAGAATTGTGGCCAATTGCGCTGTGTGAATCAGCCCTAAATATGCTTCCAAATGGGACTTCTCAAGTGTCTTGCATGGCTATCCAAGTTATGCTACACTTACTCCTTCAAAGATCAAACTGCTGAAAGGAGAGCACATATAGCATAATCCAGTGCACGGACTGTGGGGGGCCATGCCTTACTTTAGCTCTTCTTCACTATATCACCTCCTTCTCTTCTGGTTTAGTAGTAACTGCACCATCCGCCATTTGGACAGAGTCTAGAGTAGACTCACATTAAGTAATACATGGAAGTAACTGCCTATTAAAAACATGGGAGTCAGCATGAAAGAATATGACAATCTGTGCACGTCTGTTGCCACCAAGAGTACAACTAAGTGCAAACGTTTCCACCTTATTATTTTCCTAGGGAAACATCCTTTTCTAAACTTCTGATCATCCCTTGTTAGATTGGGGGAATTACTAACTTTTTGCATGCAGAAATTGTTATTTTGCCAATGGCATTTGCCTTGTCTTGCTTCCCTTTGGGGTTCTGCTGCCTCAAGCTGTTCTGAAAAGTCACAGAAAGGTGAGACTTACCACTTTGGCCTCCTGCGCTGGATTCACTGGGTGCCAATGGAGGAAGGTGAGACTTTTCCATCATGACAGCATGAGATGGGATGCCACCCACAGGGACCGTGGGAATATAGTAAGGACCAGGGACTGATGTAACTGCTGGAGGATACCCAGCCTTTGCAGCTTTTCCGGCCTCATATACTGGGGAAGAAAAGATGAATTGTCAATAATGACTGAAGCACTAGTCTTTGAATTCTGCAGTGTTCCACAATTATTGCTTTGCAGTTGATCTTGCCCTTAGAGATTTAAGGTGAATAACAGAAGCTGGAAGAGATGGTTGACTCTTCCAAAGGTTTGTCCATATCACATATTTAACCCCCTTGAATCCATTTTAAACTAAAGCTTAAATGTTTGAGTGTATCAAACATGCCTTTCCTGCAATGAGCTGAAAGTAGTGTCAAAATTGGGATTCCATCAGGCACTTAATTTCTTCTATCTAATTGCCACATGTGGCCCCACCATGCAAGTCAAAAAGTCTGCACAATGGGGCCAACTGGGATGAGGGTAGATCTGAAAACTTAAAGGGGTAGCCCAGTAGAAAATTATGTCTACATGGGTAGACACCATGAGAAGAAATATTGAGGTGGCATACCAACCAATATGGCATCAAACGTTGCAGAGCCTCCACAAGAAGGAAGGAGGCTATAGCGGGTTTTGTGAGAAGGGAATAGCACTGGGTGAAACAGGAGAGGATAAAGGATGGGGAGGCAAAGACAAAAGACACTGCTAGGGCCACAAGGGAGAGGTAAAAGGAGAGCTAGAGAGGAGGAGAATTGTATTTTATTTCCTTCCTGAGTGAGTAAATAGCATTGGAAGAATGGTATGAGGAAAGAGTTAAAACCTTCTCTCTCTATTCTGCTACGGCCCTAATCCAAACGGGGGTTTCACATTATTGTACTTTGAAAACCCACACTGATCTCCCATCATCATATGTCGTTTGATCCTCACACTCCTCTCATCCTAGGTGCTACACATCAGATGCCCATAGACAGGCCTTACACTTCTTTCCAGGAACAATACTGACACACCTCATCACACAGACTGTTCCTTAACCACAATGCAGCTAGTGGCCCAAATAAATCAAGAACCCACCTGTTGTTATATGCAAATCACATCCAATTAGTTGCATGTGAGCATAGCTAGACTGAGGCCAATGTGTTTTGTGGTCATCCCATTGAAATGAGACCCCATGAGAAGCTCAGTCCTGTGAAAAGTCAACCAATACATGTCTGGCGCACCAGGGTACATACAGTGGGCTGAATCCAGAATAAATTTTCCACCAGCAGAATGAGATTTTCCTAGCTTCCCCCCCCCCACTGCAGCCCACTGATCCCCACAAAATGTTGATCCTGAGCAACAGTGGATCCTAACAACAACAATATGGAGACGGTCTGCAATCAGAAGGGGGCATTGGTGGAAACTGCCAGCTTAGTCTGGATCCAACCCACTACTTCACTGCCAATTAGCAACTCCTTCAAGAAGATAAGGAAGAGTTTGTTTTGTTTTTCAAAGAAGAGATAAACAAAAGACTTCTTCATGGTTTAGTCCCTTTTGGAAGGCAATCACTCACATGCACGCGGACAACAGCAGGTATCCGGACAGCAGGGACAGCGGACATAACAGCAGCAGCTATGAGGGCAACACTGGCACCAGCAGATTCCAATCAGGAAAAAGAAGAGAAAAGCACCCAGGATCACCAAGCCCACAAACACCCACTCTGGAAGTAAACAGAGAAACATGTGTAAAACATGGGGCTGTCAACTGAATGAAAAAGGTTTAGTTGATTAATCATCTGTCTTCCAATTTTTCTTCAATTAAATATAAATAAATATGCACACCAACAAAACCTCAACATTCCTTTTGGACATATCAGAAGTAATGTAAATTAACTTAGAATTTTATTCATTAAAAGCTACCAGTTGCGAAGAAAGGGTGGGGGGGGTCACTGTAGATATTCCCCTCCCCCACTCCCTATTAGTGAAATAATTATGAGGACAAAAATGTGCTCAAGAAGAAACAATTGTGCCCTCACCTCGCAGCCCCAACTAATTAAATTTTGCTAGATCAAAAATGGTAAAAAATTGAAATCAAACTCAGGAATCTCACCACTAGCACAGAAGAAAAGGAATATTTCATAGGGCCAATGTGGAAAAACATGCAGTATGGTAAAATGGAGGGTGATATTACTGTTATAGACAAGCTTAACTGAAAAATCAATGGGAAAATACTTTTTTTCCATTATCTTTAGATTAGTAATTGGTTACAATAATGTACTAAGACAGTAGAGCAGTTTGGCCAAAAAAATGTGTTAAATAAGGTATTACTGTATAAGAGTACCTGGCACAGAGAATATGAAATTCCCTTTCTCAAACTGATGGCACTTACACACACACACTTTATCCTCACAATAATCTTGTAAGTAAACTTGAGACAGAGAATGACTGGCCCATGGTCACCCAGTGAGGTTCATGGCTGAATTGAGATTTGAAACCAGTCCCACCCACAATACAATATTGGCTTTCTTTAGAAACAGATTATTGAAAATATCAATAAAATAAGACACGCAGTAGTACCAGTAAATCTATCTGGCATACTTAAACACAGTTCTAAACACAGTTATATCCTTCTAAGCTAAATAACTTCAGTGGACTTAGAAAAGTGTAACTCTGTTAAGGATTGCTCTGTTAGAATGCTTATGCAATAATTTATAGATAGAACTGGTATTTTAAAACTATATCTAAGAACTTTTTATGCCTCCTGCAAACTTAAAAAGCCACCACAGTGGCTAATAGAACAATATAGATTCTTCAAACAGAACATGAAACCATTAAACAGTAGTTAAAAGTTATTAACAATATTCAAAGCAACTGAAATATATTAAGAATTAAACCAACATCAGCCAGCATTAAAACAGTTTTGGCGGCACAAGAATGGAATAATGCATTACCTTTCACAGTAACAGCTATGCAAAGCCAAGACCATGTTAAAGTTATTAGAACTGTTAAACAATTCAGAAAAAGATTAAGTCATACAGAGCTTTTATGAAAAGAATGCTGATTAAATTTAAGCTCTGTCTCACAAGCCCTGCTCTCTGTGCCCCTGCCTTCAGAGGTGAGGTGGGTGGCAATCAGAGACAGGGCTTTTGCAGTAGCAGCACCTCACTTATGGAATGTTTTCTCCCTTGAGGGTCATCTGGTGCCTACCTTGCTTTCTTTTAGGCACCAGGTCAAAACATTTCTGTTCACCCAGGACCTTAATTATGGGGATTGATCTTTTAACATTATTTTAGCCTGAAAACTGTCTGTTTTTATGGTTTATGTAGGGTTGCCAGCTCCGAGTTGGGAAATACCTGGAGATTTTGGAGGTGGAGCCTACGGAGGGCGGGGTTTGGGAAGGAGAGGGTCTTCAATGGAGTAGAATGCCACAGAGTCCACCCTCCAAAGTGGCCATTTTCTCCAGGGGAACTGCTCTCTGTAGCCTGGAGATCAGTTGCAATTCCAATAGCTCTCCAGCCACCACCTGGAGGTTGGCAACCCTCGGTTTATGTTTTACTGCTGGACTGGGTTTTTAATGCTGGATTTTAATGAATATTATCTAATGTTTTGAGTTTTTAAATTATTGTTGTAAGCAAAGAATGCTGATTAAATTTAAGCTCTGTCTCACAAGCCCTGCTCTCTGTGCCCCTGCCTTCAGAGGTGAGGTGGGTGGCAATCAGAGACAGGGCTTTTGCAGTAGCAGCACCTCACTTATGGAATGTTTTCTCCCTTGAGGGTCATCTGGTGCCTACCTTGCTTTCTTTTAGGCACCAGGTCAAAACATTTCTGTTCACCCAGGACCTTAATTATGGGGATTGATCTTTTAACACTATTTTAGCCTGAAAACTGTCAGTAGTCTGTTTTTATGGTTTATGTAGGGTTGCCAGCTCCGAGTTGGGAAATACCTGGAGATTTTGGAGGTGGAGCCTACGGAGGGCGGGGTTTGGGAAGGAGAGGGGCTTCAATGGAGAAGAATGCCTCAGAGTCCACCCTCCAAAGTGGCCATTTTCTCCAGGGGAACTGCTCTCTGTAGCCTGGAGATCAGTTGCAATTCCAATAGCTCTCCAGCCACCACCTGGAGGTTGGCAACCCTCGGTTTATGTTTTACTGCTGGACTGGGTTTTTAATGCTGGATTTTAATGAATATTATCTAATGTTTTGAGTTTTTAAATTATTGTTGTAAGCCTCCTCAAAAGAGTTGCCAACCTCCTGTGGAATTACAACTGATCTCCAGGCAACAGAGATTAGGTCCCCCAGAGAAAATAACTGCTTTGGAGGGTATACAATATGGCACTATAACCTGCTGAGGGCCTCCCCCCCCTCCTCAGACACCCCCCCTCCAGGCTCTATACTCAAATGTCCAGACATTTTCCAACACAGAGCTGGCAACCGTACTTCTTGAGCAGGTTTTTGGAGAGGCAGCATAAACACTTCCTAAAAAATACATTGCCAATTCTGACCTCAATAAAATGGATCTTAAACAACATTTAAAGTGGACAGCCCATTTATGAGCTATGATGTCAGGTTACAAAACAAAAGTTAAAAACTTAGGATGTCGATAGGTTGAATTTGGGCTTATTTGTCTTGCATGGAATTTTGTGGTTTATAGTTTTACTAAATAAACAAAAGTGCCCATACTGGTTAGGACTACTAGCCTAAGCAGATCCATATCCTCCTAAATCCACTGAAATCAATGAGCTTTGAAAGTAACTCTGCTTAGGATTCCACTGTAAATCCCCTCAAATGCACTGATTCAACCTTGTGGTCTTGGTAAAAGAGATAACAGCACCACCAAATATAATGAGAACTGTCTTCTTCACAGCAGGGAGTATCAGGAAAGAACTCAAAAGAGGGGGGATATTGGTGATTGGAGAGAGACAGAAAAGGAGCAAACAAAAAGAAGGTTTCTTCTTTCGCCATGGATTAAAGAAGGAGACAGCACTAGGAAGGGCTTGATAGTTTGAATACCCTACAATCTTACATTATTAACTCTCATAATATCTCAGGGGAGAAGGAAGAGTAATATTATTCCCATGGAGTGCACAGCAAACAAGGACTGATTCCTAACATTTATACAGGCATACTTGCCTAACATCCTAATATTATTTATTTTCCCTAAATCTAACAGTAATCTATTTCTTGGCACAGTTCAAAGGGTCAATCTTTAAAGCATTAGATACATGGAATAAGAGTATCTTCTACCCTATGAAGTGTCCTGTTCCCTAAAATCTTAATTCAAGGCCCAAACAGTTGCATCTTCACCATCAGACGAGAGATGAATGGGGACCAAAAAGAGGACCTATTCAGGTGAGGTGTTGTGCATCTGGAATGCCCTTCCCAGAGAGGTACACTTGGTGCTTTCATTTTTTAGGGTTTTTTTCTTCTGCTTTTGGTTAAGCATTGATTTATTTCTGCTTTAGTCTTTTACTGTTTCACTGCTATACAGACCCTCACCATCTGTATGGGATTTGTTCCCAAGATCACTGTGAATGACAAAATCTGTGAATGCTGGGAGGCAGGGTTCTGCTGCCTCCCAACAGTAAAAAAAATAAATCCCAAATTTCCTACAAACTATAATGCTATAATGATTCCGATGAAGTCACTGTGGGAGTAAAAATGGGCTGAAGAAGACCATATGACATGATCAAATCATAGATTGCAAAAAAGAAAAACTGCAATTCACAAACCCGGGAATTGAACAACCCATTTTGTTCAAATCAAATTGACTATTTTAACGTTTGTGGCTTTGGACAAAATATTATTTTGGAAAAGTGAGATATAAATAGTTTAATAAAAATCCATTCCAACATTAGGTTGGACAAGATAGTAAACCAGCTTTATAGATATCTTTAAAAACTTCTACTAGTCCAGGGGAAAAAATCATTGGCTTGAAACTGAGGAAGAAAAATACGATTTCATTTAAAGTTAGTTTCATATAAGCCAATCTGCTAAAGTTTCCATTGTAGATGAATGAGAAGGTCACGTGAACAAAGAAAGAATATACAATGTTGGTAGGATGGGAGGGGATGAGCATACCATGGAGCTGGAAAGAACTGGTTTGAAGCAGCCTGTAGCTATGGAATTTTCCACTGCTGAGTTTAAGTTTGTGCACATGTGTTAACAGTATGAAAGGGGGCTTGAAAGTTGTGGCCCTTTTGAGATTTGCTTCTGCCATCTCCTGTGATCACATAATAAAGTTCAGGCAATAATTCTAAATTCTGGTCTTAGTGAGTTTTTCCTCAATAGAACCAAATGTTTCTGCAGGCAGAAATATTTCTGCCAGTGTATGATAACCTTCTGACTTCTGAGTTCCGATTTCAGCCCAAAATGCTCCTGAACAGAATTTCAGGAGGTTGTTTTGGGGCAACAGCAGGATGGGGGAGGTGAGAAAGTCCTTTTATGGATCAAAAACTGGCTAATTAATAGAAAACAGAGAGTGAGTATAAATGGGCAATTTTCTCAGTGGAGGGACGTAAGCAGTGGGGTACCGCAGGGATCAGTACTTGGTCCACTGCTTTTTAACTTGTTCATTAATGATTTGGAGTTGGGAGTAAGCAGTGAAGTGGCTAAATTTGCGGATGATACGAAGTTGTTCAGGGTGGTGAAAACCAGTGAGGATTGTGAGGCACTCCAAAGGGATCTGTCAAGGATGGGCAAGTGGGCGTCAACATGGCAAATGGGGTTCAATGTGGCCAAGTGCAAGGTGATGCACATTGGAGCCAAAAATCCTAAATATAAATACACATTGATGGGGTCTGAACTGGCAGAGACAGATCAAGAGAGAGATCTTGGAGTTGTAGTAGATAACTCACTGAAAATGTCAAGACAGTGTGTGACTGCAATAAAGAAGGCCAATGCTATGCTGGGGATTATTAGGAAGGGTATTGAAAACAGATCAGCCAATATAATAATGCCCCTATATAAATCAATGGTGAGACCTCATTTGGAATACTGTGTGCAGTTCTGGTCACCACACCTTAAAAAGGATATTATAGCTTTGGAAAAAGTGCAGAAAAGGGCAACTCGAATGATAAAAGGGTTGGAACACTTTCCCTATGAGGAAAGGTTAAAGCGCTTAGGGCTCTTTAGCTTGGAGAAAAGACGACTGAGGGGTGACATGATCGAGGTTTATAAGATTATGCATGGGAAAGAGCAGGTAAAGAAAGAGGTACTTTTCTCCCTTTCTCACAATACAAGAACCCGTGGGCACTCCATGAAATTGCTGAGCGGTCGGGTTAGAAAACAGTGGGAGGGCTTCTAATGTCCTGGCCCCACTGGTGGACCTCCTGATGGCACTGGTATTTCTGTCCACTGTGTGACACAGAGTGTTGGCTGGGATGGGCCTTTGGCCTGATCCAACATTGGCATCTCTTATGTTCTTATGTTCTTATGTTCTTATGTTCTTATGCTTCATGGGAGGAAATCCTTCTGCCTGCAGAAATATTTGGATGGATCCAAGCCCATGCCTGCTTACCTGCATACATTCATGCAGCAAGCTCTGATTTATTTGACAGGTGAGCAGGCATTTGTCTAACAGTAAACAAGTATAAAGACAACAGTCGTGAGAGTCTGACCCACAAATCAAACAGTCATTAAGACTTATAAAGAATGCTATCTATGTATTGCAATCTGAAGCACTACAACATGATAAACAAATTATAAGAAAATCCTTGAACCAAGGTACATAATCAACGTCGTCTCCGGATTACTCTTACGACTGTTGTCTTTGTACTTGTTTACTGATCGGGTCGTGTTTGTCCAGATTTATCTTAATGTGTCTAACAGTGCCATGCTAAGCAGAGTTACACCCTTCTAAGCCCAGGGACTTAGGTGGACTTAGAAGGGTGTAACTCTGCTTAGCATGGCACTGGAACAGCAATGCTGTCTTTGATCTCTGCTTTCTTTGTTTTTCTATATGATAAACTACTAGCCAATCCCCCCCCCCCAATGCCAGTTCAATATACACTGGCAATGCAAGCAGTTATGAAGGTATCAGGAATTGAGGGCTCAAGTGGGTACAAAAAATACATGCATGCACCACTTGCAGTGGACTGACAAACAGAGAAGGCAACAGAAGAATGGATAAAGTGTTACATGACTGAATAGTACCTGGCATAATTCCCACAGCAAACTTGGGCAAGAGATCAGCAAGCAGCCCTGTCCTGCCTAGAAAAAGACAGAAGAAAGGAAAGAAGCAGAGAAGTTAGTGCACTCCATCTCTCCAGCTTAGCATCTAGCTTTGCTTTTCTCATCATAGGCTTTGTAATCACACCTATGCACCTTAGGGTGTTCATCTGCTCTAATTTAGCTATGCTCTAGTAAAATATATAAGACATATTCCATGTTGAATTGTACTTGTGCTAGTTTTAGTGAATACTGAACACAGGAAGCTGCCTAATACTGAAAGAGCCTTGGTCTATCAAAGTCAGTATTGTCTACTCAGACTAGCAGCAGCTTTCCAGGGTCTCAGGCAGAGGTCTTTCACATCACTTACTACCTGGTCCTTTTAATTGGAGGTGCCAGGGGACTGAACCTTGGACCTTCTGCATGCAAAGCAGAGGCTCTTCCACTCAGCCACAGCCCTTCCTTAAATTAAGCTGCCTCATACAGAATCAGACCCTTGGTCCATCAAGGTCAGTATTGTCTACTCAGACTGGCAGCGGCTCTCAAGTCTCATGCAGAGGTCTTTCACATCAACCTACTGTCAAATTCTTTTATCTGAAGATGCTGGGGATTGAACTTGGGACCTTCTAGAAAAAGACAGAAGAAAGGAAAGAAGCAGAGAAGTTAGTGCACTCCATCTCTCCAGCTTAGCATCTAGCTTTGCTTTTCTCATCATAGGACGATGGCTTTGTAATCACACCTATGCACCTTAGGGTGTTCATCTGCTCTAATTTAGCTATGCTCTAGTAAAATATATAAGACATATTCCATGTTGAATTGTACTTGTGCTAGTTTTAGTGAATACTGAACACAGGAAGCTGCCTAATACTGAAAGAGCCTTGGTCTATCAAAGTCAGTATTGTCTACTCAGACTAGCAGCAGCTTTCCAGGGTCTCAGGCAGAGGTCTTTCACATCACTTACTACCTGGTCCTTTTAATTGGAGGTGCCAGGGGACTGAACCTTGGACCTTCTGCATGCAAAGCAGAGGCTCTTCCACTCAGCCACAGCCCTTCCTTAAATTAAGCTGCCTCATACCTTTTAACTGGAGGTGCCAGGGGACTGAACCTTGGACCTTCTGCATGCAAAGCAGAGGCTCTTCCACTCAGCCACAGCCCTTCCTTAAATTAAGCTGCCTCATACAGAATCAGACCCTTGGTCAATCAAGACCAGTATTGTCTACTCAGACTGGCAGCGGCTCTCAAGTCTCATGCAGAGGTCTTTCACATCAACCTACTGTCAAATTCTTTTATCTGAAGATGCTGGGGATTGAACTTGGGACCTTCTATATGCCAAGCAGATGCTCTAACACTGAGCCATATCCCTTTCTTGTGCAATATTCATTCATCTAAACGACATACACATGAACACAGAAAGCTGCCATATACTGAATCAAACCATTGGTCTATCAAGGTCAATATTGTCTACTCAGACTGGCTGCAGCTCTCCACAGTCTCACACGACCTACTGCCAGATCCTTTAACTGTATTTGCAAAACATTATACAGATCTAGCTATACACACTCAAGCACCAGATCACTCTACATGTGACTGTCCTATGATGCCTCTGAATAACCAAAGGCTATGATAAGACACAAAGTTATTTTGCCCAAATGATTCAAATCACCCTATGTGAGGGGTGGAAGCTGGAAACAACTCTGCATTTTCTAAATAAATTGAAAATCAATCTTGAAAAACACAAAATGCTCTACATCTTACAATAGCACTACAGATAAGATTAGAATTTCAACAGTCAATCCATATGCAAAAGAACCTCCTCAGGAAAGCCCCTCCATTAGCATGTCACAGCCTGGGGAACTCCTACAAGATAATGACTCATCCCTACCCCACTTTTCTGAGTAGAGATAAATTACCTGCCTACCATTTTTCTTCTCACCTTGACACAGAGAATACTCCATCTTTCCATGTTATACCTCTGAGGATGCCAGTCACAGCTGCTGGCAAAATGTCAGGTCCTACAATACCAAGACCACGGCCATACAGCCCGGAAAATCTACAACTAATGAACTCTGGCCATGAAAGCCTTTGACAACATATTGAAAATCAATGCTTGAAATGCAAGGAAAAGTCTAGGAAATTGCTATATTAATCTTAGGAACTTCAATTTTCCATCTCTAATCCTGGAAGCTGCTTCTGTGGAAGCACTAGAGGCACCCCTACTTGGGCTGACCTAAAATCCTCCCAACATAGTACATGAACACATGAAGCTGCCTTATACTGAATCAGACCCTTGGTCCATCAAAGTAAGTATTGTCTACTCAGATTGGCAGCAGCACTCCAGGGTCTGAAGCTGAGGTCTAACCTTTTACCTCATCATTTTAACAGGAGATGTTGGGGATTGAACCTGGGATCTTCTGCATGCCAAGTAGATGCTCTGCCAGTGAGCCACAGCCCCTCCCCAAAGAAGGGAACATATAGATACTACTTCACCATAAGAGTGCTGCAGTACAAAAGCCAAGGTGGAGCAAAATAGTCTGTGTGGAAACAGCCTGTGTCACTATTATTTTCTGCAAAGTGCTATTGATCTGGGCTGTTTCCATGTCAACTAGAAGCAATCCATGTAAGCTCTGTAGAAAATCCATGTCTAACTTCTCAGAATCGGCTACATAAAGTGAAATAAAATCTAGGCAGTATGGATCCCCCTTGCCTATTTTAGAACAGTAACAAGGATGATAGAGGCAACTGAATGATGCACAGAAAGCGAATCATATCTGTTTTTGTAATGACTATAGAAAAAGATGAGAGCAGAAAAACATACATGATTAATGCTGGCCAGAGAGTTCCATGCTTTTTTAGAAGAAACTCAGATTATATAGAATAGAATAGAATAGAATAGAATAGAATAGAATAGAATAGAATAGAATAGAATAGAATAGAATAGAATAGAATGGAATGGAATGGAATGGAATGG